AACACAAGCTAATGACTTGGAGAAAATACTAATATATGTCATACAAGTTCTTAATATAGAAATTTTATAAAGAACTCATTAAACTCGTCACAAAAAGAACAAACACCTCCATTAAAAAGTGGACAGAGATGTTGAAGAGCGACTTGTCCACAGGAGACAGAGATGGCAGCAGGCCCATGAACGTTTGTTTCTCCTCTCCTATTCAGAAAGCAAATCAGAAGCAAAATGAGCTATCATCTGCTATCTGTTAAGAGGGTTATTATCAAAATAGACAAGAAACAAGTGATGGTAAAGTGTGGAGAGAAAAAAATCTTTGTAGATTGTTGTTAGGAATTTCAATTGTTGCAATCGTGGAAAATAATGTGGCAATCCCCAACAAAATTAAGAATAGAAATATCGGGCCTCCCCTGGTGGCGCAGTGGATGAGCACTGGGCTGCGAAGCTGCCCGCAGCGTCTGTAGAGCCGGTTCGATCCCGGCCACCAGCGAGGGTGCCATATGGCGTGACTGACCTCTCCTGTCGTGCCCGCTGCTCCCCTCAGCAGTGTATTTCGTCACTCTGCCTATTTTGTTTCCGCTCTGGCTCTGGTGAATTCTCTCACCCTCCCACACTTCTGGCTGTACCCAGTGCTTGTATAAATAAATAAATAAATCTTAAAAAAAAAAGGAAGCAAATAGCAATTACATCTACCAAGTTGCTCAGGATAGAAATTTTAGCAGCATTTTTAATTTCTGTCTTTCCCTCACTTTCTATACCCATCCAAATCAGCCCTATTAGCTAACATCCTAAGCAACTTACCACTCTGACCCACTCCTCTCTCTTTGTCTACTGCAAGTTTCTCAGTTGTTTTCCTGTTGCATTCTTGTTCTCCTACAAATTAGTTTCCCCAATGCAAAGAGATTTTTCTCAAACACAAATTATTCAATTCACTCCACTCGCCAACACCTCTCTCCGTTTTCACAATTAGCATGAAGTTCAGGCCATCACCCTGAATTAGGAAGTTCTGAGTGACTAGTTTCTGTGAATATCTTTGACCTTATCTCACAATCCCTTATCCTTTGTCCACATGAAACACTGCCCTCCTTTTTCTTACTGAAGGGTGATTCAGTCATTTCTGCCTGTCCGTGCTCCCCTCTGCAATTGTGCTTTCTCCAAACTTTGTTGTATGCATCCTGGTCTGTAAATAGAGTTCATATTGTCATTTATTTAAGTATTATAATTTCCATTAAAGAATAATGTTTTCATAGCTTTACAGATGCATACATTTTATTAAAAATATCCTGAAGGGTTTCATATTTTGATGTTATCCTAAATGGTATTGAAAATTCAATTGGTTTGTTTCGATCCTTTGTACAGATCCTATCACCATTTGTTATTTCTCTGTTGGATTATTTTAAAACTTATTTATATTGCTTTTATTCCCTGCCACTGAAAAGTCAGTTTTACCACAACATTCTCTCTATATCCTGATCACTAGAACACTATCAATTGTACAAAAGTACAGTGTAGTTTCTCAATTATTAGTCATTGTTTCTTTTGAGTGAATATCATATATAGGTAACCTTGGAAAAAATGATTAACCTCTCTTCTCTAAATCTCCTTCTTCAGATACTTATTAATATATTTGTAAGTGCACATATTGATATATGTAATATACATAGAATTAAAACAATGATACTTATACTTCCTGTTATTTATCGCTATGAAATCACTTTATTTTGGCTAAAGTGTGAAAAGCAACCTAAAAAAAAAAAAGTGTTCTGAATTTCCTAATATTTTTGTTTCGTTTTTAAGCACATTGGTATTGTTATGACCTATTGGATTTGTTAGTTTATTCCTTCTCAAAAGAACTATTGGGTATATAGTATTATTATTTAATGTTATTTTCCTACTAAACTAGAGTCCATGACACAATTATAGCCCCAAAAAAGAAAGACAGGCTGAAAAAGAATCCTGAAATTACCTCTTAAAAATTTTAGAATTTAAACCTTACTAGTTCATTCCAACACTAGTAACTGTGCCTCCTTTTTAAAAATAAAATTTTTTTAAAGGTTTATTTTATTTATACAAGCACCGGGGTGCAGGCCAGATGCACAGGAGGGTGAGAGGATTCACCAGAGACAGAGCCGGGAACAGAACAGGCAGACTGACTGAAATCCACTGCTGAGGGGAGCAGCGGGCACGGCAGGAGAGGTCTGCTTGCCACGTGGGTCCCTCTCCGGGCGCGGCAGAGGCTGTGGACAGCTCCCCAGCGCAGGCCCAACCGCCTGCGCCCCCTGTTTGCTGTTCTCTCCACAGTGTGAGCGCGACAGTAAAGCATCTGCACAAGGCAGGGCCAGGATGGGGACGCCTTGAAAAGCCAAAACCCAGGACAGGATTGCTCAGGACAAATGAAAGGGCCTCTCAGGCATTCCAGGGTTGTCGTTAAGCGGCAGCTTTTTCGTTAAGGCTGAGAAACCGCTGGGGGTTCCCTCTGCCAATGGCTGTGGCCTCTGGCTCTGACGCCACAAAGAGCCATTGTGACGGCACCGGCCCCGCCTACATCAGGCCCGCCCGGACTGCGCCTGTGTCCTCAGGAGCCGGGAAGCTTTGGACAGTGACCTGTGCACTCCGGACGCCGACAGAGAGAGTGAGAGTGTGTTTTGGGGTATTTGGTTTTCTTTTGGTTTATTTATTGGTTTATTTATTTAATTATTTGTTTAGGCTATTTATTTTAGTTATTTTATTTTTCTTTCTTTGTTTTTTCCTTATTTTCTTTTTGTATTTGCTTATAGTATTTTCTACTTTTTTTTCCTTTTATTTCTTTGTTTTTTATTTTCCTTTATTGTTTTGTTATTGGCTTTTATTTTTATCTTTATTCTTTACTTTCTTACTTCAGTTTTTAGTTTTTTTTATTTTTATTTTTCGAGTGGTCTCCCCCATTTTCCCTTCTGTTCTTGTTTCGTTGTTTGTTCTTTCTTCCCCTTTGTCGTTTCTCTGGGATTTTATTTTGGTTTGTTTTTTTGTTTCAGGTTTTAGTTTCTAATTGTTGTTTGTTCTGTTGTTTGTTCTATTGGGATTTGTTGTTCTGTTTTATTCTTAAATTTAGTGGTTAGTTTTAAATTAGTTTGTTTTTAATCATATTTTTACATTTACATCTCATTCATCATTTTTTGTTTGTGTAGTTTCATTCATTTGTAGTGTAGTTAGTATTGCTAGTAAGGTGAGTGAAGTTAGTATAGTTGGTGGAGTTAAGGTAGCATTGTTAGTATTTAGTGAGGTTAGTGAATACTTTTTGAGTACTATTAATACTAGATTAATAGTACATTTGTTAATATCGTAGGAGAGTCAGTTGTCAGCGGAGGTAGCGCAAGGGCTGGGAGCACAGTCAGGGCTGGTGAGGGTAGTCAGCGTAGTCAAGTGCATAGGCGCTATGTCCCAGGGACGTCAAGGGAAAAGCTACCTGGCGCTGCGGGAGCTGGGGCGGGGCTCCCACGCAAAGGTGACGCTGGCGCTGCACGCGCTCACGGGCACGAAGGTGCTCATCAGGGGCGTCCGCAAGTCTGAGCTGCCCGACCTCCACCTTCTGGCCCGCGAGATGGGGTGCCTGAAGGCCCTTCACCACCCGAACATCGTGGAGCTCTTCCAGGTGGTGGACACCGGGCCGGAGCTGCAGCTCGTCATGGAGTACGTGCAGGGGGAGGACCTGCAGGACTTCCTGAGCAGGCGTGGGCGCCTGGACGAGAGCGAGGCCCGACCGCTCTTTCAGCAGATCCTCGCGGCCCTCAGCCACTGCCATGCCAAAGGCATCGTGCACCTGGATGTGAGGCCCGAGAACATTCTGCTGACCCGATAGGGAAAAGTCAAGCTGGTGGACTTTGGGCTCAGCGTCCAGGGCTTCAACCGGGCGCTGAGCACGTGCTGCTGTTGCCCAGAATACAGGGCCCCAGAGGTCTATCTTGGCCAGCAGTACAACGGCCCCAAGGTGGACGTGTGGATCCTGGGCGTCGTGTTCTATAAAATGATGACCGGCACACTGCCCTTCAGGGGCCCAAACCTCGGGGCGATCAGGGTGCTCGTCCTGGGCAGGTGGGTCCAGCTGCCCGACTACCTCACGGAGTAGTGCCAGGACCTACTGGCCAAAATGCTGTCACCAGACCCCTGGAGGCGCAGCACCCTGGAGAGCATCCAGCAGCATGCCTGGGTAGCAGAAACGAGCGAGGGACTCCTGCCCTTCGGCGAGCCATCGCTCAGCCCCCAGGACCCGGCCATAACCAAAGCTATGGAGCGCCTGGGCTACCAGAGGCAGGAAATTCGGAAGGCCATTGACGCTGACAAGTACGACGAGGTCATGGCCACCTACCTGATCCTCCGCTCCAGGAAGCAGGAGGGGGAGGAGGACTATGAGGAGGAGGGGGAGGAGCGGCCCAGGCATGTCACCTTCCGGGTGCCAAAGCGTGTCACCTTCCGGGAGCCTGGTGACCCCAATTCCAAGGACTGCCTCCCGCAGCCTGAGGTTTCGGGGAATACCCCAAGGCCGGGTATCCTGCGAAAGCAGGAAGTCCAAAAGAGGGGAAAGGATGCCACCCCAGGCAACAGGGTCATCTCCGCTGAAGTCCCTGAGCTGGAGGATGCCCAGAAGCACACCACCGCCGCAGGGCCAGGCTCCCTGTTAGAGGACGCCCCGAAGGCCTCTGCGCTAGGCCCGGTGCTGGAGGACGCCTGGTGGGGACACCAGCACCTCTGTGGCCAGACCCCAGCAGGAGGACACCAGGGAGCACAGCAGCACCTTTGTGTCAGTCCTCCAGCTGGAGGACGCTGGGGAGCACGGCAGCACCACTGAGACAGGCCCCCAGCTGGAGAGGGACCAGGAAAGCAGGGCCAACACAATCTGTCCAGCTCCCAAGCCATCCAGCACCACCCTAAGACCTCCCCCAAGACCTGGCTGGCCTTCCAGTGCAGTGGCCCCTTCAGCAATCATCAGGGCCAGAGATAGGGTATTAGATATTATCCTAGAATTTTGTTGTGCTGTACAGCATTCAAATTGCAGAGCAACAAAGACTAAAAATAGCACCACACCAGACAAAAGCCTCCCACCCCCAAAGCACAACCACTCAGTGGCCATGGTGAACAGGAGTACACCAGGGAAGGTTGAGGCTCTGGAGAGGCTCAGGGACTGGGCCCAGTACAGGGGCCAGGAGCAGCATGAGACCCACGGGACTGCAGCACAGAAATCTGGGCAAAACCGATGTCCCTGGAGCACAGATGTCCCTGGAGCAGAGCAGGTGAAGGGCCAGGAGGGCCACGGAACTGGTGAAACACCTGGAGGGGAGCAGAACGGGTGAGTGGTGGGGTGTGGAGGGGCTGGGGAGAGCTGAGCAGGTACAGGGCCCAGGAGGGGTATGAGGCTGTGTGGGTGGCCCCAGGGTCAGAGGCCCCAGGGCCAGAGGCAGGAAACCCTGGACCTCTCTCCCCCATCATAGGCTCAGTTCCCTGAGAACCATACTGCCCCCCTTGCTGGGAGAGACCTGCTGCTCTATCCTGAGCACAGGGATGTCATAGAGGATGCAGGAGCTCTTGCAAAGGCTTGGGCCCAGGTGGTAAAACGTGCAGATTGCAAGGAGCAGATAAAGAGGGTCTCTAGCTCCCCTTAAGAAAGACTCGGGGACCAGTATATTAGAATCCAAACAGGACTCTTCAAGCTGGACAGAGTTTATTCATAGACCAGCCCTACTCCACACGACCTGCTCAGCTGGAAAATCTGCACATCTTCCTACACCAGGAAGCCCTAGGCTATGATCAATCTCAGTCCCGCAGTGGGCATTGTCACCTCAAAATTTTGCAGCTTGGGATTCTTACACAGTGTCAGCCCAGCTGGAATTTCCCCTTTTAAAAATCCTCTCCAGACGGCCACCCACCCCTCCTCCTCCCTGGATTCAAACCCCGCAGGGTGACCTTAGCCAAATTGGAAACATTAATATCGCCCAACAGATGCAGGCTTTGGACACCATTCTCTGCCAATTAAATCACTGGGACATGAACGAAAAGCTACAGGGGCTATCTACCTTAAATTTGTGTTTTTTCATCATTGTTTAGATGGTGTTCAATTCCCTTCTAAAACTAAGGTTTTGCTAAGTCTGGTAAATGCAAGTGAGGTGAGGTATGTGTGTTTGAAAAAAGAAATGTATGGAAGAGGGATATTCTGAAGGGCCTTAAGATTATGTAAAGCCGGATGGGTAAAATGAAATGGCATTAGAATGAAAGCAAGCAAAAGAAAGTGTTGAAGGTCTGAGAGAGAGATTTTTGTGAGAAATCATGTGTACTCAGGTGTCTCCCCCACCTCCAACACATTCATGGGCTTGCTCATCTGACCAGCAAAGCCCCCTCTGATCGCTACTTCATCAGCCGAACGAGGGGCCAGGACATCATGGATCCTGCCCCTAGCAGGCCCAGTGATCATGATTATGATTTTCTTTGTTTCTGCACACTGTTTTCTCTGCTTTATCCAGGCAAAGCTCTCTGACATGAGCCTTCGCTCTCCCAGACCCGGGAAAGCCATTCCTGTGATTGACAGATGAGCAACAGGGCATTGCTCTATGGGTTCTGGGCCAACCTGGGCTGTCCAGCGACCAGTTGCTTATTTCTCTAAACAAATGGATCCCCTGTAAGAGGATGGCAGCCCTGCCTGCGCGCACTTGCGGCAGCTGCTCGTCTTGCTAGACAGGCCTTAAAACCTACACTGGGCCAAGCTGTACATATTAGTTCTCCACATCGGCTCCAGGACCTACTCATTCACCAGGTTCTCTCCCCTCCATCACCCTCTTGTCTGTTGGATTTCTACTCTCTTTGTCAAAGACCCTCTCATCTCCCTCTCCCAATCCTTGACTCTCCATCCTGCTAGGTCACGGGTGTTCCACTCCCTAATGCAGATAACACCCTCTTCTTACTATGGTGGACACCATCACCAGTCAGACAATGGACCTGCCTTTATCTCAAAGATTACTCCACAGGTCCCCTCCCTGGGCATCACCTGGAAACTACACATTCCCTCCCGACCGCAATCCTCTGGTAAGGTAGAACGGGTAAATGGTCTGACCAGAGACCACCTAACCAAACTCTCTACTGAGCTGCGGAAATCCTGCGTGGAGCTGCTCCCACTGGCTTTAATGCACCTCCGAGCCACCCCTTGTGGCCCCTTGTTCCTGAGCCCCCTTGAACGGATGTATTGCAGACCTCCCCTTACTAACCATGAGCTCCCCATCCAATCTACGCTGTTGGCTGGATATTTTTCATACTTCTCTTTGCTCAGACAGCTGCTCCAAGAACACACAGATCGTTGTCTGCCACAACCTGTGCCTCCATCCCCTGATGCACCTGTCAACCTGCTCTGCCCTGGAGACCAGGTTCTTCTGAAAGCCATCTCTCCAAAACCACTTCCGCCAAAGTGGATGGGTCCACACACGATCATCCTGACTACACCAACAGCTGTCAAGGTCTTGAGCAACATGTCCTGGCATCAGCTGTCCAGGGTCAAACCGGTCCCTGTGGACAAGCAGTATGTATGCGAGTGCTGGGCCCAACTCAGGTACACGTCACTGCGCTCCTCGTCCAGGTTCCACTCAGTCTACAGAGCAGAGGCCCTCTGACTCTCTCTCCTCTGTTTCTAATCCCATCACTTCAAGCCACTTCCCGTTCTTCTGTCTTTGCCTGGAGATTCCAGATCAGCGCAGCCTCAGGCAAGGTATTAGCACTCACAGGGCCTCTGATCCTATTCTTATTTTTTTCTTTTTGCCCCATGCTTACTGCATTTCATCCAACACTGGATCCAAGACCCGCCCCGAACCACCTTTAACCAACTCCTTCTCCACCCATATCCTCGCGTCCCTGCAAAGACCATCTCATAACCAGGCCTGAGCCCCCACCCTGGTCTTCGCCTCTGTCCAGCAGGAAGTAGCTAAAGAAAGAACAGTCGCCCCTTTTCCTGTCAACAAAAGGCTGGTATGAAAGTTTGATGCAGGGGCCAGGAATGGGGAAGCCCACATGCAAACAACAAGATGGCCCTGACCCCAGAACCCCTGATTCCATCAAACTGAAACTGAAGCCATAAGCAGGAGAAAACAACTCAGCTCCATGAAAAAACAACTTCGTTCCACCTAAACCTGTTTTCCCCACTGCCAACCCAGTTTTCCTGCCTAACCTCTCCTCACCCTATAAAATGACATCTCCCCCCACAATGGGCGGGACATCAGGGACCCCCACCTTGGGTCAGCAAAGATCGCCCGGGGGCACAATGAGTTTCCCCTTCCTTTGAGAAAGTTTAGCCTGGCTCCCCTTTTCTTTACCGCGCCAAACCTTTCATCTTGGTGCCCGAAACCCAGAAGGCTGTGTCCCCAGGCGCTGGGGCCACCTTCCTGTCCCTGGGACCTCTCCTCTCCATGGCAGATGCCTCTCATCCACCACTGGCCTTGATCCTTGGGGTGAGTCACTGCCTGACCATCTTTCCCAGGAGGCCCTCACCCCTGGTTACCTGGCTCCTCTCCTCACCCCCATCCTGGTCGACTGTTCCATAAACCGCAGGCCTACGCCAGTCGACCCCCATTGCTCCTGGTTCTGGATTTGGGGACGCCCGTCCAGCCCAGGTGTCCCAGTCTGGGCGACAACCGAGCGGTGGAGACGTCCCCCTCCCTCGCCCGCCCCCATTCCAAAGGCCAGGACCGGGTCGTGGGACGCCATGATTCGGGGCCTGTGGCCCCAGAGGTCAGATCAGGTCGTGGGACACTGCGTTCCTGAGTCTGTACCCCCATTCGTTGGGGAGAGGAGCCGACTTAGCCATGGGGTCCTCACATTCCAAGCCGAGCCCGGCCACCCCTCTGGGACGCCTTCTCTCAAACCTCGATCTGCTGGGACTCAGGCCAGATCTGCGCCTCAACGTCTCGTCTTCTCCTGCAACACTGCCCGGCCTCAGTGCCCATTGGAGAATGGCTCTCACTGGCCAGAACAGGGAGCTTTCCATTTCACGGTCCTTACAGACCTGAACAGTTTCTGTCACCGCAGTGGAACATGGTCAGAGATCCCTCATGTCCAGGCTTGCTTTCTCGTGTGCTCCAGTCCCTCCCTCCTGCAAACCAGTTGTACTTCCCAAGTCTCCAGACTCCTCTCACTCTTCGCCTTCTCCGGACCCCTCTTCTGCGTTCTCTGATCCTCTAGATGTTCAGTCTTCACCTCCTTCAGCTCCCCAGTCCTGCCCCCACTTCCACCTCCCAGCCAGCACACCTGCTCTCACAATCGTCCTCTTTGTCCCCTTAGGGAGGTTGCGGGGACCGAAGGAGTAGGTGGAGTCCACGATCCATTCCCTCTGTCTGATCTCTCCCAGATTGAAAAGCATCTCAGCTCTTTCACTAACGACCCCACTACCTACACCAAAGAATTTCATTATCTTACCCAAGGTTACACCTAAGGTTACACCTATAACCTTCCGTGTTATGATTACACATTATCCTCTCTTCCACCCTGGCCTCTAATCAAAGAGAACGTGTTTTTCAGTCTGCTCGAGGCCACGCAGATCAGGTCCACTTCACTGACACAACCATGGCCCCAGGCCCTGAAGCAGGTCCCCGCCAGGAGACTGGCTGGGAATCCCAGACTGACACTGACGCGGGTCGTGGGGGCAGGGCTCGCTGAGACGCTTCATCCCCTGCCTCGTAGCCGGGCTCCAAGCAGCAGCCGGTCTCCAAGGCGGTTAATTTTGACAAGCTGCGGGAGATCACCCAGTTCCACCCCATACGGAGGAGTACGGTGACTACAAACAACGGCGAAGAGCATGTGGCTGCTAGAAGCTTTCATAAACCTGCCCGGGATGGGTTGGTTGCATTACAACTGGCGTAGATGGCAGGACGGTGCAAAGCAGGACGGCTCTACGCAGACAAAACCTTTGGAACCTGGTGAGGGATTGCCGGGTGGCCGGCCACGAGCAGATGATACTCGGTGGCTGACCTCCTCACCCTGTGGTCACCTCCGCAGGAATGGCCAGAGGTAGATGGATCCCCGGGGCAGTTGGAACAGGCCCTGTATGAAATAGAAGAAACCCTGAGTGGATGCAGTGCCCGCGAGGTGGCAGGAGCAGTGGGATGGGTGTTTCTCACAGCTCTGTGAGGGTCCAGGCAGAAAGAGCAATCTAGAATCCAGCGAGTACGGGTTGAGATTCGGGAAGAGATGCGGAAACTGCAACAATGTTTGAGGATTCTGGAGGAAGAAGTTTGGAGAAACCAACCCACCATTCCGGAGATGTGAGACCAGCTCAGAAAGGAAGGAGAGGGAGGCTGGCCCTTTGCCCGAATCGCAGCCGGTGGTGGGAAACCAACCTGTGACTCCAGAGATGCCAGACCCCTCCTCAGGACAGGAGGAGAGGGAGGCTGTTCCTTTGCCCGAGTCCAACCGGCGATGGCAAACCAACCTGCCACCCCGGAGATGCCGGACTCCTCTGGAGAGTAGGTGGAGGCTGGTCCCATGCTCCGGCCCCCCCCCTCCCGGTGGTGACTCAGAAATGAAGTGGCAGCCACCCATGGCCCCAGGTGATCAGGCTGCTGGGCCACCACAAATGACAGAATTTACTACCTATTGACCATACACCCAGGTGGAACTGGTGGACTTGGGCAAACAGTTCCACCAGAAACCAGGGGAACCCTTGGCAGCCTGGATTCACCTGAGAGAGTGGGGAGCCGAACAGGCAGATGTACTGAAATACACTGCTAAAGGGAGCAGCAGGCATGACAGGAGAAGGCTGCTGCACCCTATGTGGCTTAGCTCCCTCATGGGGAATTGAACTCAGGCCATAGCAGTGACAGAGCTGAGACTTACTCCCTAAGCCACCAGCGAGGCCCCTTTCCCAATAATTTCTCACTGCAGTATTGGCCATAGAGAATTTAATATAAAATTAATGTGTCTTTACTGATCAGTGAATCATGTAACAGGCAAGTTTTAGATTTAAGTTAATTGGTATGTATGTGTAAGGAATATATACTACATGGTTGATATGAACAGCTTTTCTGGTTTTTAAGCGACTCTGAAATTGAAGAGTCTTTTTGGTAACTGTCAAAGATAAAACTAATATGAAAATATTTAACCTTTCGTTCATCTTATAACAAAATGGAAAATAACAAATGGCAGGGTTTCACATGGTAGCCCTGAAGGATAATGCTTTTCAGATCCCATTTATCCATCTCTTTTAATAAATCTCTCTTCATTATCTTTTCATGTTACAAGTTTGCATACTGAACCAGATTGCAATGAAATGACGGTCTAATGAAAAACACTATGTTTGATATAGATGTAGGTTATTCTGTGCCCATAAATTTTTAAGTAGGTGATGGAAAATTGGTCTTTCTAAGTAAGAGATTTTTGTTTTATTTTCAAGTTAGGCTATAGTTTTGTCTGTGAGCAAACCATTTACTCTCTCTGGTATTACCTTTCTTCTAACTAATTCTGTGAGTCATAGTCTCTTCCAGTCCTACCAATATTATTGCAAATAGCAAGATTTAATCCAGTGGGGTTTTTTTTAGTAGCTGAGTAGTATTTGTGTGTTGTGCGCCATATCTTCTTTTTTTTATTTAAAACTTTTTTTTAAGAGGCATGTATTTTATTTATTTATTTATTTGTTTGTTTGTTTGTTTGTTTGTTTATACATGCACTGGGTACAGTCAGAAGCACGGGAGGGTGAGAGAATTCACTGGAGCCAGAGCGGGGAGCAGAGCAGGCAGAAGGACCGAAGTACACTGCTGAGGGGAGCAGCGGGCGGCAGGAGAGGTCTGCGCGCCATGTGGGACCCTCCTCTGGTGGACAGGGAGCAGCCCGGGATCGAACCAGCACTGCAGAGGCTGCGGGCAGCTTCACAACCCAGCGCTCAACCGCTGCACCACCAGGGAGGCCCAGCGCCATATCTTCTTAACCAACTCGTCTGTTGTTGGACCCTTAGGTTGCTTCCATAACTTTAGTATTGAAAATACTATTACCATGAACATAGGCGTGCACATATCCCTTCATATTAGTGTTTTTGTATGCTTCAGAGAGAAAACTAAGAATGGGATTGCTGGATCATAAGGTAGAACTATTGTTAGTATTTTCAGAAATATCTATCCTAATTTTCTAGGAAGGGAAACAGTCTTCATTTCCACCAACAGTGGAGTAAAGACATGGATATAAGTTCTGAAATTACAAAATACACAGAAAAACAAAAATGACTGAGTTCCTTAATGAGCCTTAGAGATGACTTTTGTCAATTGGATTACACTGGCAAAGGAAACAAAAGCAAATATAAAAAAAGGGACAATATTAAACTAAAAAGTTTATTCTATAGAGTGAAAGAAACCACCATTAAAAAAAGACAAGCAAATGATTTGGAGAAAATACTTACATATGTCAGACAAGGGCTTAATATACAAATTTTATAAAGAACTCATTAAACTCGTCAACAAAAGAACAAATATCCCCATTAAAAAGTGTACAGAGATGTTGAAGAGCGGCTTGTCCACAGGAGACAGAGATGGCAGCAGGCCCATGAACACGTGTTCCTTCTCTCCTATTCAGAAAGCAAATCAGAAGCAAAATGAGCGATCATCTCCTATCTGTTAAGAGGGTTATTATCAAAATAGACAAGAAACAAGTGATAGTAAAGTTGTGGAGAGAAAAAATCTTTGTAGATTGTTGTTAGGAATTTCAATTGTTGCAATCATGGAAAATAGTGTGGCAATCCCCAACAAAATTAAGAACAGAAATATCGGGACTCCCCTGGTAGCGCAGCGGTTGCGCACTGGGCTGTGAAGCTGCCCGCAGCGTCTGCAGCACCGGTTCAATCCCCGGCCACCGGCAAGGGTCCCACATGGCGCGACAGACCTCTCCTGTCATGCCCACTGCTCCACTCAGCAGTGTACTTCGTCACTCTGCCTATTCTATTCTCTGCTCTGGCTCTGGTGAATTCTCTCACCCTTCCGCACTTTTGACTATACCCAGTGCTTGTATAAATAAATAAATAAATAAATAAATAAATAAATAAATAAATAAATAAATAAATCTTTAAAAAAAAAAAAAGCAAATAGCAATTACATCTTCCAAGTTGCTCTGGATAGAAAGTTTGGCAGCATCTTTAATTTCTGTCTTTCCCTCACTTTCTATACCCATCCAAATCAGCCCTATTAACTAACATCCTAAGCAACTTACCACTCTGACCCACTCCTCTCTCTTTGTCTACTGCAAGTTTCTCGGTTGTTTTCCCTGTTGCATTCTTGTTCTCATACAATCTAGTTTCCACAATGCACAGAGATTTTTCTCAAGCATAAACTATTCAATTCACTCCACTCTCCAACACCTCTCTCCATTTTCACAATTAGCATGAAGTTCTGAGTGACTAGTTTCTGTGAATATCTGTGACCTTATCTCACAATTCCTTCTCCTTTGTCCACATGAAACACTGACCTCCTTTTTCTTACTGCAGGGTGATTCAGTCATTTCTGCCTCTCTGTGCTCCCCTCTGCAATTGTGCTTTCTCCCAAACTTTCCTGTATGCATCCTGGTCTGTAAATAGAGTTCATATTGTCATTTATTGAAGTCTTATAATTTCCATTAAAGAATAATGTTTTCATAGCTTTACAGATGCATACATTTTATTAAAAATATCCTTAAGGGTTTCATATTTTGATGTTATCCTAAATGGTATTGAAAATTCAATTGGTTTGTTTCGATCCTTTGTACAGATCCTATCACCATTTGTTATTTCTCTGTTGGATATTTTAAAACTTATTTATATTGCTTCTTTTCCCTGCCACTGAAAAGTCAGTTTTATCACAACATTCTCTCTATATCTTGATCATTAGAACACTATCAATTCTACAAAAGTACAGTGTAGTATCTCAATTATTAGTCATTGTTTATTTTGAGTGAATATCATATATAGGTAACCTTAGAAAAAATGATTAACCTCTCTTCTCTAAATCTCCTTCCTCAGATATTTATTCATATATTTGTAAGTGCACATATTGATATATGTAATATACATAGAATTAAAACAATGATACTTATACTTCCTGTTATTTATCACTATGAAATCACTTTATTTTGGCTAAAGTGTTAAAAGCAACCTAGAAAACAAAGTGTTCTAAATTTCCTAACATTTTTGTTTAGTTTTTGAGCACATTGGTATTGTTATGACCTATTGGATTTGTTAGTTTATTCCTTCTCAAAGGAACTATTGTGTATCTAATATTATTATTTAATGTTATTTTTCTACTAACCTAGACTCCATGACACAATTTTAGCCCCAAAAAAGAAAGACATGCTGAAAAAGAATCCTGAAATGGGGCCTCCCCTGGTGGCGTAGTAGTTGAGTGCTGGGCTGCAAGGCTGCCCACAGCCTCTGCATCGCCGGTTCCATCCCGGTTGCTCCCCGGCCACCAGAGGAGGGTCCCACATGGCGCGCAGACCTCTCCTGCCGCCCGCTGCTCCCCTCAGCAGTGTACTTCCTCAGTCTGCCTGTTCTGCTCCCCGCTCTGGTGAATCCTCTCACCTTCCTGCACTTCTGACTGTACCCAGTGCTTGCATAAATAAATAAATAAATCTTAAAAAAAAAAAAAGGAATCCTGAAATGACCACTTGAAAATTTTAGAATTTAAACCTTACTAGTTCTTTCCAACACTAGTAACTGTGCCTCCTTTTTTAAAATTTTTTTAAAGATTTATTTTATTTATACAAGCACCGGGGTGCAGGCCAGATGCGCGGGAGGGTGAGAGGATTCACCAGAGACAGAGCCGGGAACAGAACAGGCAGACTGACTGAAATCCACTGCTGAGGGGAGCAGCGGGCGCGGCAGGAGAGGTCTGCGCGCCTCGTGGGCCCCTCGCGGGCGCGGCAGAGGCTGTGGACAGCTCCCCAGCGCGCTCCCAACCGCCTGCGCCCCCTGTTTGCTGTTCTCTCCACAGTGTGAGCGCGACAGTAAAGCATCTGCACAAGGCAGGGCCAGGATGGGGACGCCTTGAAAAGCCAAAACCCAGGACGGGATTGCTCAGGACAAATGAAAGGGCCTCTCAGGCATTCCAAGGGTTGTCGTTAAGCGGCAGCTTTTTCGTTAAGGCTGAGAAACCGCTGGGGGTTCCCTCTGCCAATGGCTGTGGCCTCTGGCTCTGACGCCACAAAGAGCCATTGTGACGGCACCGGCACCGCCTACATCAGGCCCGCCCGGACTGCGCCTGTGTCCTCAGGAGCCGGGAAGCTTTGGACAGTGACCTGTGCACTCCGGACGCCGACAGAGAGAGTGAGAGCGTGTTTGGGGGTATTTGGTTTTCTTTTGGTTTATTTATTGGTTTACTTATTTTGTTGTTTGTTTAGGCTATTTATTTTAGTTACTTTATTTTTCTTTCTTTGTTTTTTCCTTATTTTCCTTGATTTTTTTGTACTTGCTTATAGTTTTTTCTACTTTTTCTGTTTCCTTTTATTTCTTTGTTTTTTATTTTTCTTTATTGTTTTGTTATTGGCTCATATTTTTATCTTTATTCTTTTGTTTATTTTTTTACTTCAGTTTTTAGTTTTTTGATTTTGATTTTTTGAGTGATCTCCCCCATTTTCCCTTCTTTTCTTGTTTCATTGTTTGTTCTTTCTTCCCCTTTGTTGTTTTTCTGGGTTTTTATTTTGGTGTTTTTTTTTTTTCAGGTTTTAGTTTCTAATTGTTGTTTGTTCTATTGGTCTTTGTTCTGTTTTATTCTTAAATTTAGTGGTTAGTTTCTAATTAGTTTGTTTTTAATCATATTTTTACATTTATATCTCATTTGTCATTTTTCGTTTGTGTGGTTTCATTTATTTGTAGTGTAGTTAGTATTGCTAGTAAGGTGAGTGAGGTTATTTTTGTTGGTAGAGTTAAGTTAGCATTGCTAGTATTTAGTGAGGTGAGTGAATACTTTTTGAGTACTATTAATACTAGATTAATAGTACATTTGTTAATATCGTAGGAGAGTCAGTTGTCAGCAGAGGTAGCGCAAGGGCTGGGAGCACAGTCAGGGCTGGTGAGTGTAGTCAGCGTAGTCCAAGTGCATAGGCGCTATACATAGGGCACCTCCATGCTGACCTCTGCAGGATTCAGAGGGAAGCAAGCCACTCCTGGGGAGTGGGAGGGGACCCCGACCCCAGCGACCCTGAGCTGGTCCTCAGCCTGCCCCTGCCCACTTCCCACAGGGGGACCCAGGAGGCCCAGGTACGCACACCTGTCAGGTGTGTTCACTCTATAGTGGGTGTCTCGTGTGCACTGCGTGTCACTCCCGCCTGGAGCCATGCACGGCCTGCCCGCCCCTCTGGCCACCCCCACTCTGCTGTCAGGTGCCTGTCCCTCACCCCAGCAGTGAGGCGACACCTGTCTGACCTCAAGAGCAGCTCCCTTGCTCTTTTAAGTGATTCGATGATTCGAGAATGTCTCCTGTGCACATTTTATTCAGAGGCCTCTCCGGCCGGCGTGCTGATAGGGTCGGCAGGGCTTCAGAGGACAGCACTGCAGGTCTTGTCCTGAGGGACAGCCCATGTCCCTGCGGACTGTGGGGCCAGCCCCACCTGGGTATTGGACACCAGCCAGCGCTGCCCAGACACCAAACTCTGCCTGCCCGCAGGCCCTGCCCTGTGCCCTGCCTTCTCCCTGTGGGGACCACGGCCTGGCCCTCGGGGCACAGCCCCTGTTCACCTCAGTGAGCACCGAGAATGGGAACCCCAGGTCCTCCCGGACCAGCAGGTGAGCATGGGGGTGCAGAGAGAAGCCCTCCCCGCTGCAGGACACAAAGGGAGAGCGACCGGCCAGCTGGTGCGGAGGCGGCGGCCTATGAAGAGGGTTTTCCAAGAGGGAAATCAGCATGAGGCAAAACACTCAAAAAAAGGACAAGTTTATCTTCAGTTATTTTGCTTAGAAATAAGCACATTTTCAAAGTTTGTAAGAAGTAATGTGATCAGAGCTGGACCCTTAAAAAGCAAAATCAAAAAATACTGTTTTGGAAATTGAAGGTGAAATCCTAACCATTACAGGCGCGGGGCGCACGGCCCTGCTCTGACTTTCTTTCCAGGTGAGGCCAGGGCCTGTGGCCGCCGCCAGGGGCTGTTGGGTGGGGAAGTGCCCACGGGTGGTCACTGGGCAGCCCCGGGCATGCAGGCCCTCTCTGGGGTCTGGGGATGTGGCTCGTTGGGCTGCTGGGTAGGGTTCCCAGCTTCCCTGTCGTGGGAATCAAACGTCCTGGTAGTTTCACGCTTTTCCTGGGGAGACCCTGATGAATGGAAAGCAGCTCCCCTAGGTGGATGTGGGGCCGGCACAGGGTGCACCCCACCCGTGAGCAGGCTGCTAGGCCTGCAACTCAGCTGACAGGCTCCGACCTGCCCTACCCATGTGCAGCGATGTTTATGTGCGCGATTCCTTGGTGGCCCTATGAGCAGGACCCTACTATCATCCTGCGGTTGCCCCGAAAGCCTGCATGATGGTGAAGGACCTGGAGGCAAGACCTCCCTTCTGACCCTGGTCTAATGCCCCCTCTGCTCCCTGGCACCCCCTCTGTGCCCTAGCACTCCCTCTGTGCCCTGGCACCCCCTCTTTGCCCAGGCACACCCCTCTGTGCCCTGGTACCCCCTCTGTGTCCTGGCACACCCCCCTCTGTGCCCTGGCGAACCCCCTCTGCGCCCTGGCGCCCCCTCTTCCCCGGGAGCCTCCACTCTCTCCACCTGCAGCTGGTGGGCCCTGGGCCTTGGGCTGGCCTGGGTGGTATGGCGGGGTCTGGCATCTGACCTGCATTGAATAAATGCAAACCCATCACCCCCGCACACACTGTGGAAGGAAGGAAGGAAGGTGGTACCCTGGGACTTGCCTGCCAGGGCTAATTGTTCTGAGCTGGCTCCTCCCGCTGGGTGCTCAGCCTGGGGAGGAGGGAGGCCCCAGCCTGGGGAGGAGGGTGGCCCCAGCCTGGGGAGGAGGAGGTTCTCCTCTTAATAACTTGGCGGGGGGCTGGTGAAGATGCTACCTCCATGTGGTGGCCTTGGAAGTCGTGCCCACGCTTCACTCGCTGGATTCCAGAGGGGGTTTAAATGATAAAAGAAGTCTCTCTCGCTGGGCCTCGAAGGATCCAAACTGCAGAATCCCCCAGGGAGAGGGAGCAGAGAGGCCTCTGGCTCCCCTCAGGCCCACCCCCAGGGCCCTCAGCACTCTGGGGAAGGCACATCTGAGGTAACCAGCAGGCCTGGGGTACTAGACCTTCCCCCGCACCGAGCCCATGCCCAGGGCCCGTGGGTCTGGGAGTGGTTCTGAGAGCAGGTCTAGACAGACCATCGGGGCACCCCCTCACCCTGTTCAGAGGCGGGGTTTGCACTGCTGGAGCTGGATCCAGACTTTGTCCACACTGTGCTCTGATGAATAACTGTCATCTATGAAACTTCTGAAGAAACTCAGGAGTTTTATAATCATTCCCTTTTTCATACCGAACCCAGTGATGCTCCGTGCGGGGCTTCAAGTGTGAGTCTTAGAATTTCCTTCCATGGACCCGGAAAACCTCCTCCTGAAGGCCCGTCTGGAGCGGCGCCTCTACCCTTACAGGTAGAGATTCCACCCCTCCTGTAACTGCCGAGTCCCTGGAGTACCCCCACGAGAAAGCTCCTGGCCAGGCTTCCTCTGCTGACTGCCCCGTCCCCAGCGAGCACAACACACCCTGGCCCCCAGACCCCGGCCTGGGCCCGTGGGGTGGCTGCCCCCACAGCTCGCCAGGGCTCCCCCTGGACTCCTGCTTCCCCTTCCCTGCCTCACAGACCTGCCCCTGCCTGGGCGGCCCTCCCACCCCTGGGCCTGGTGCACCCCACATGCCCCAATCCCTGGGCTCTGGCCACGTTGCGCTGGGGCCCGCCATGGGATGAGCAAAGCCCCAACTCAGCCGTCCCAGGAAATGGCCGGCCGGGACCATGCACCACCGCGCCAAGGGGGCAGGTCACTTTGCCTAGACTGAGGTGACTTCAGCACATCTAGTCAGCGTGAGAGTGACCACCGATGGCAGTTTCCGGCGCCCCTGCCCGACCCCTGTGCGGGATGGAGGGGCTGACCGCGTGGGCGTGAGGAAGTGCCCCAGCGACTGCGTGGGAAAGAGGAAGGAGGGATTCTGGAAGGTACTTCCGGGTGAGGATTTGAACATCTCAAAGTATCTGTGAGCTTGTCTTGGTGGAGACGGATACACAGATGCCGACTTGTAGCCGATGGTGCACCCGCACCCAGGGGCGCCCGCCTGAGTGAGAGCAGGCCGTTGTGCTGGGGACGAGGGCGTGTGCCAGGGTGAGGACTCATGCCGGAGTGGTGCTGCGGGGATGGCACGGGCGCCTGGGGCTGGTCAGGCAGTGGAGGCTGGGGCCTGGGGAGTGGGAAGGACAGCCTGGGGTGCAGAGAGGTCTTGAGGCCAGTCCTGGGCCTGCATGTGCTCCCAGGGCTGGGACTGGAAGCCTGGGGAAGCCTGCTCTGGCCGGCCGGCTCAGGATGCAGCTGGGGCGCGCGTCTGCCATGGCCCTGCTGCCTCTTGGGGGTGACGTTTTCCGGCCTCTCCTTCGTCGCACGTCTGCCGAGGCGAGGGGCCCCTCGGATGTCAGCACACCTGAGCCGGGCGCCCCCCCAGGCTCCTCAGGCCAAGCCTCAGGCTAGTCGCCTGCTGGCACGTGAGTGCTGGGGTGACCTTGTGGGGCTTGCGTGCCAGCGCCCTTTGCTGGCCACCCTCACATGGCAGTGCTGATGGGGTGGGTGGCCTGGGCGTCCCCAGGTCCCGCTGTACCCTGTGCTCTCACCTGCTGGAACCCGCCCACCTGCCTGCTCGCCTGCTCCCTGGGTGCCTGCACTGCTCTCCTCCCCTGGCCGCGGCGTGCCAGGCAAAGAGTGGGGACCCAGTGTGAAGACCTCATGGAAGAAGCCTGCCCGCAGGCCAGGGTGCAGCTTGTTATCTTCCCCACCTCTAGCAGTGAGAAAGACTGTGATGGAGAGGGGCTAAGGCCAGCCAAGGCCGCAGCCGCAGGGCACATGCTGCCCGCGAGGAACAGGAGAGCTGGGGGGTGGGCGATCAGGGGGCCAACTCGGGTGGAGCGTAGTGGACCCCACCCTGCCCAGGACCCTGCCCGGGACCCCATCCAGGAGCCTGGACACTCTTCCCCGCAGCCTCGCCCCCATGAACTCAGGTTTCCTGGCGCCGCGGGCACCCCAAGACCCGGTGGTACCAGCTAGAGCTTGCAGCGGCTCCTCACCCAGTGCCCCAAAATGCACCTGTGCATGTGCAGCAGCCTGTGCCCCTGAGCGTGTTCACAGCGGGCACTCGTGCACGCGCCGTGCCCTGGCCGTCTTGTCTGCAAGTTTTCTGAAAAATATACACACGGATAACATTATTTTGGAAAATAAGTTATTAAGTCAAGCACAAGTGCGTCGCGGGACAGTGCCCCCCATGCAGCGGCCTCTGGTCCTGCTGGTAAGAGGGGGGCGGGGGCACGTGGAGGGCTCCGCTCAGGCCTTTCCCGGCTGAGATGCTGCATTTTCCTTGTGGAGTTGGGAGACGCCCTCGGCGCAGGTGCTCTGGTCGCTGGAAGTTGGCCTGGGTGGGGGTCTCACCGCGTGGGTGCGTGGATGTGCTCTCGTGGGCGCACCTGAAACTGCAGTGTGAAGCGGAAGGCCGCTGGCACCCGTCTGTCCTCAGGATGGGCCCCTGGGTACCTGCTCCCTAGATTTTCAAGAAACACCCATTTGTTTGAGTCATTCCAGTTCAGCATCTCCGGGGCCATCCTAAGCTACATTTTAAAAAAGTTTTCCAAAGAACTGCTTGGGTCCCAGGGGTGCCGCCCGTGCCTGAGCCCCCTGGGCAGCGGGGAGTCTCAAAAATTTGCTTTTGTTGCTTATTAACTCGGTTGGCAAACTGTGGAAGATACCTGGGAGGAGGATTCCCCGAAGGCCAGGCCCCAGGAGACCTGGGTTTTTGAAAGGTGGAACGTGTTCCAGCCGCATCACCCACAGAAGATGGCCAGTCGCAGCTCGCAGAAGGGAGCCAGGGCCGGCGTGCGGGGCGGAGGGATCAGGGCCGAGCCGGCAGCAGGGAGGACCGTGGGCGCCATGTGCCAGGGAGATGGACAGTTAGGCCCAGGGCTCAGAAGGCCACCAGGAGAGGTGTGTTTGGAGCCAGAGGCCATGCCTGTGGGCGAGGGGCTGCGAGCCTGAGGCTGCAGGCCCTGCGGATGCTCTGTCCAGGTGGGATCGCCCGCCCTGTGGTGCCTGGAGAGCAGCAGGGAGGCCCTAGCCCAGAGGCGCCTGGTGGCCCTGGATGGCGGGAGGTCTGTGGTACTGGGGCATGTTTATTTCCATAAAGGCTCCAGGGAAGCTGTGAAATGAGATGTGGGGCTGGCACCTGGGAGGTTCTGCCTCGGGGCGGGTCTTGTTGGCTGAGCTCATTGAAAATCAGGTGATCCAGTCCCTGGAATAGCCAGGACTTGATATCAGCCCCAAGCAGGTCTGCACCCCCACCCCCATCACCCCACCACCTGCTCGCACCCCCACCCCTGCCACCCCCCACCCCCGCCAACCTCCCACCCTGTCACCCCGGCACCCGTCCTGCCGCAAAGGGCTAGGCCCAACAGGTCCTTTTTCCCTTGTGTCTTTGACTGCGTTTGAGGGGGACTTTAGGTGACTCAGAAATGGGGCCAAATGCCCTGTGACCCAACCACGTTGCCCATGCTGACCCCGTCAACCAGGCCCTGGTGGTCTCGGCATTTAAATTCTGCCTTTTTCCGGTCACTGCTCATGTCATGGAAGTGGGAGCAATGGCAGGAAAGGACCATGTTCCAAAGTGAATTGCATCACTCGCTGCCCTGTGGGGTCACGCTTCCCCTCAGCCTGGGCTCCTGGACTGGCCTGGGGTCAGCCTGCCCCGGGGCAGGGCCCAGGAACAGCAGTGAGCAGAGAAGGCCAGAGACTGCGGTCTGTGCTGTGCGCAGGAGCTGAGATGGGGTCAGAACAGAGACCCAGAGGTCTGGTGCCTCTGAGGAGGAGGGGGAGCGGCTGGGAGGGAGCAGGGCAGGCTGGCCCTAGGCACAGAGAGCAGACACCACGCAGCAGGGCCAGCTCCTGGGCGCAGCCAGCAGGTGGAGCCAGGGGCCTTTTTCAATGCAGAGCTCCAGGGACCATGGCTCCGGAGCCCTGAACTGGCCGCTCCCTGCAGCCTCACACCCAACCCCTCGCCAAAGCGTCTGCTTTGCGCTCTGGTTTCCAGCCTAGCAGAGGCCTCTGCTGTGGCAGCTGCTCTGTCCACTTTCCCAGGAGGAAGGACGGGTGTGCCTGGGGCGCAGGGAGACTGGAGCAGTCGGGTGGGAGGGGCGGTGCTCCTGGGGGGATGCGGCATTTCGGGGGGGGTGTCGGTTAATTTGGGCAAGAGACCAAATAAAGCCACAGCCGGCTCAGGTGCAACTCTGCGGGAGAGGGGGGAGAAGGGGGTGATGCACCACCCATCGGGCTCCCGGGGAGACGGGGGGCGTGAATGAGGGCCTCCGGATACTTCAGCTTCATCACTTTCCTACACAAAAAGTCTTGGAAGGTTTTGGAGAAGCGCCTGAAATAGTCACTAGGGGAGAGGGAGGGAGGTGGAAGGGCCTGCGGCTGGAGTCCTGGGCCTGGGCATTACAGAGGTGACATCACGCTCAGTCCTTGATGAGGGAAGCTCCTGATGGCGGGCAGATGCTGGCTTCATCCAGAACTAGGCTAGACCTTGAAAAAAAGGAGGGGTGACTTGTTGACTTGACACGAAGTCCGATCACTAATCTGGTGTCCACCTGGGTGAGAAGGTACCAGCGGAGATGCAGGCTGGCTCAGCCCTGGCCACACAGACACACACAGACACACTCAGATGCTCAAGTGCCCGGAGGAGGTGTCCATAAACACTGAGGGCAGAACACAGTCTCCCGGGGCTGGGAGACGGGCCAGGTGTGACCTGTTTCCAGATGAGGGTCACCTGTGGGAGGAAAGGGCCCAGGCCCTTTCCTCGAAAACATAGCTATTAATTTTTTAAAGGTTTATTTATTTATGCATACAAGAACTGGGGTACAGGCCAAAGGTTGGGGGGTGGGTGAGAGGATTTACCAGAGACCAGAGACAGAGTGGGGAGCAGAACAGGCGGATCTACTGAAACACGCTGCTGAGGGGAGCAGCGGGGAGACAGAAGAGGTCTGCCTCGCCCTGTCATCCCAGGTTTCAAATATCCAGATGTTGACATTTTCTAACCTTTCCAGGCAGCCTCCATATTTACTTTTTGCCACATGGATCTCACCTGAGCAAGGTCAGCCTGAATAGCCTCCTTGCAAGGTGAACTGTTTGATAATGACTTAAATGTCTGATATCCAGTTGGAACTACATTTTTATCATGAAATTTTTTGGTGTGAAATTTCAAATATTGGCCGTCACAGATGGGAGAGCAAAGGTCGATGCAGTCAGCAGAGAAGAGCTGAGGCCAGACAGCAAGTGACAATTGTGGGGGCATTTCACTTCCCAAATTGAAATCTCCTTCAATTCCTTGCATGTCTTTACAAGTATACTAAATGATAGTATCATTCATTGTACGTAAATCTGATGAGTTTTTTCATTTCAACGTGCTTGTGAAAAATGCAGACATTCTAGGTAAGATTCCTCTTGATGACCTGCCCGGCCAGGGCATTGTTCTGCCATCCCGCCCACTCTAGGGGATGAAATAAATGGGACAACACTCCTGTAAAGTGTGGTGTGAGGTCATGGATGGCATTCCTAACACTTTTCTGGAAAAACTAGATACGAGGCAGGCTACCAGCTATCATTTGTTTTGACCATCATAACTTGTTAAGTTCTCTTAATGTATCTCAAAAATTCCTATCCAGTGTATTTTTTAATTTATTTTGTAATTATACTGCACATGAACCTAACTTTCCTATTTCATGTGTTCACCGTGGGTGAGTGTGATTTTGGCAAATGAGGATGGCGCCCACACCAGAGCTTCCAGGTTGTCTCCACCACGTCATGTGCGTGTCCTTATCGACAAAGGTCTTGACTACTCAGATTCTAACTTCAGATCCTTGGGCCTTATTTATGCTGTGAAGGCCCCACCTACTAAGTAAAGGGATCTCTGTCCTGCCCATGGCCCCTGATCCCACCCATGATCAAGAAAACATTAAAGGGGAAGCCGCCTTAGAGACTGGAGATGCTGCCCCCGTGAAAAATTCTGCCCATGACTGCAATGAAACCCAACCATCGCCTCTCCTGGGGGGAGCACAGAAATGGAGACCAGCAAAGAGTGTCTGGAAGTTCAGTGACCTCCATTGTACAGAGAATATAAAAAAGCACCTAAGTGTAACAAAGAGGAACAATCAATGCCAATAGAGTCTATGAGCAGCAGACTATATGAAGTCACCATAAATATAATTTAAAAATGAGCATATATGTTTAAATTGTGCAATGGAATTATATGTAATTAGACAAATATGAAAGGAGTATAATTAAATAATTTAAAATAAATGTCTTGTAATAGAGTCATGAAGTCATCTTCCCTATTACATTTAGGTGCATCTCCCCTTCATCAGTCTCCCCAAGCTGACTTCATGGCTTGGTTCCTCAGACTGTATATGATGGGATTAAAGGTGGGGGGCACCAGCGTGTAGAACATAGAAATGACCAGGTCAGACACGGATGGGGTCCCTGAGGTCGGCTTCAGATAAGCAAAGCATCCAGTGGAGAGAAACAGCACCACAACCAGCAGGTGGGGAAGGCAGGTGGAGTAGACTTTGGCCTTACCTTCTGTGGATGGGATCTTTCTGACAACAGAGAAGATGTGGACATAGGAAATAATGATGAAAGTAAAACAGCAGGAATCCATCACTGCATTAATGAGCATGGGGACAAGTTCGTTCTTTAACTTTCCTGAGCAGGAAATAGCCAAAAGTTGGGGGATGTCACAGAAGAACTGGTGGACCACGTTGGACCCGCAGTAGGACAAGGAGAAGGTTCCAGCTGTGAGCATCACAGCCAATATACCCCCACCCAGCCAGGACGCAGCTGTCAGCTGCACACACCTGACCC